TCCCACGAGAGGTGTAATTAAGTTAATCAGGGATTATCGCAGCGGCCACACTTCATTACACCGAAGTTGCGCCAGCGCCGACTCTTTTGTTCAAGCGAATCTTATCCACGGTGGTGGTGATAAATCGCGGGCAGATTCGCTTTCCCTTCCTTCCAACTTTGTCGCTAGCTCTATTTCTCTCAGTTTTGAAGGATGAACTCAAACGAAAGGATTTCAGGTGAAAAGCCGACTGCATTGGCTATTAATTATGCTCGCCGTGAGTTGACGTGCGACTAGAGCTGACAAAAGAGGAGATTAATTTTGCGAGCGAAGGGAAAATCGCGCTCGGCAGAAACTAATTGATGTTGCGTATAATTTTGTTAATAGTGAATAATCATTTATCAGTAGTAGTACTTTACGCAATATTGCATATTTAATGCTGGCTTATACAATTAGTTGTATTAATTTTAGGATTTTAATTCAACCAATAACTTTTGCATGACATTTAAATTAAAAGCATAAACTTGCCCGTTGAATCATTCCATACGGCACGAAACCTCAAATTTAACGTTTAAAAGAGAATGACACCAGAAAAGTAACGTAGCAACTTGATTGCACTTGTCATTATATTGAGTATGTGTACGTATATGTGCGGCAACGACACTCCAATATCCGGCTATTCGCTCATTCATATGTTCGTTACCATTCTCATCAGCTGCGGGAACTCGCTCAACATCTCGCGCGACCCTCGCATTGTTTGCGCGCGCATAATAATTTATGTGTTCTCGTCGAGGCACGCCGAATGCGAGGATGTATTGCATGGACAAAGCTATAAATGAGGAAAAAAATATGATGAGAGAATGAGAGAAAATAGTTGAATTTCGAGAACGAGAGAGAAAGAACGAAGAAAAGTAAAGGTGATGCGCAACGTGCTTCTTTTAGGAGAGTGCGTGTAGATGTATTATTCTGTTGATGGTTTGAAGAAGATTTTTTTTCGCTTGTATATAGACTTTGATAATTTTTTGCTATTTTCAAATGAAAAATTCATTTAAGTTATCATTTTATTAAATGTATTTATATTGTAACTCATATTTTATAGAATTCTGTTTGAATTGGATATTCGAAGTCTCATCTGGTGGTAAAACTCAGCACTGTTTAAAGTTATACCAAAATAATATACAACAACAAATAGGGTGTGGTTTGTAACAATTCTAAAGTTAATATGTTTACGTTTCAACCGCAAAAGTAAGAAAAACAATATAAATGACTATCGAAATTCCTTATACTCATTTCATCTGTTAATAGTTGCAATCTTCTAACTCTTAACCAATTTCTTGAACCTTTTAAATAAAATTTAAAATTGATTATATACCTTATGTAGATTTTTTACATAATAAAACTTTACAGTAATATTTCAAAAGATAATGGTATTTTAAGAATAACCATTATTCAAAATATTTCATATATTCCAAAGTATCAAATGCTGACGAACAAAAAAATGCGCGGGCTCAGATAATAACCATCATACAATTCGGAAATCAAAGAGTCTCAGCGTCAGCATTTTCGCATGCTTCAAGTCTTTTGACGCGCTTATCTTTTTGTCGTAGCGCATGCACTTCCGTTTTCTCTTTCTCTTTCACTCGTAGGATTCGCTTTAGAATTCCTTTGAAAAAAAAGAACGCGGCTTTTGTTTGCTCACCACCGCTGTTTTTTTTCGTCGGTGCGTGCTCACTTTGATGGTTGCGCGCGATATATATTTGGTCTGACGTTTAATCCGACAAAGACGCCGTGTTTTTTTGCCTTTGACGATAACGTGAGAATGTAGGTTAATTCAACAAAGCACCGTTATTTTCTTTCTCGTTCGAAAAATCTTTCTTTCTCTTTTTCTTTCTCTCCTTCTTTCCATAAGCGAGAGAAAGAGAGAGAGAGAGAGAGAGAGAGAACGCTTGACGTAAAGAGGGTTGCTTTCAACAATTACGAGTTAAGAGAGAAAGAGAGTTAAGAGTGAAAATTGGAGCAGGAAAACACAGGTTCAGAAGCTCGCAGTATCCACAATGAGGCTTGAATAATGAATGAAGCGCTGTCGAGTGACCTCTGTTACATGCTGCAGGAAGTTGTTAGCGAATAAGAGGATAAAACGAAAGGAGAATCGAGATTAAAAACACACACATACGTATGCAGACTAGGTCAACAAATAAGCCTAAAATGTTATAATTGGTAGATCACAGGTACGTTTACATATTATTTTTATCGTAATTACAAGCGCACTTGGTAAAAATAAATTATGTCGGGATGTTACTTTTCAATATCGAAGGAACAAATGCTAACGAAAAGCACAGAAAACTCACAGAAAAAGAGTATAGGATTCTCAAAGAAAGCTTGCAAGTGAAAAAAGTATCTTTTTGTCTGTGTCTTGAGCGCATTGGTTAATTCATGGTATTGAACAAGGGAGTGCTCGCTAGCAGCGAAGCAGTATACCTTGGTAAAAAAAGAAAAGAGCAGAATAACTTTTGATAAAAAAAGGAAAGAGAAATCGTAAAAAGTTAGGTGTATCGACACATGAGTACGTGGTTCGTCTTGCTTTCGACATCGCGGTCAATCGGGTTTACTTCTGATTTCTGTTTTATTACAGCTTATACATAAGAAAAGGCAATGATAGCTATTGAGTGATGTTTTTCAAGTGACCCATATAAGCTAATGTAATATTTCCGTTTGTAATTTCCTCCTTTTACAATGTAAAAATAGAGCGCTCGACATTCAGTTTGGAAGTGTGATTTACTCGGCATTGCAAGTGAAATTTTTCCACATAAATTATATTAAAAGCCAAAAAAGTGCACACAAAAAAAGGTGTCCTTCCGGCGATTTGCCGCGAGTAAGGGTTCTCTCGCATACAATTTACATAAAATGTCAACCGCGAAAAATTTATGTATACTCCTCATACACACGCACAAACTGCCAGGTCTCTTTTTTCTTCTTCACGTTGTTGTTTTTTCTCTTTCTCTCGACCGCCAGATTCTCTATTAAGATATCCAGCGTGGCACGTACGCTTGTGCATTCATTTTTCAAATCGTGCAACGTGACCCCAGGCAGCGCAGATTTGATTCTGTACGACCCTTACCCACACCCTTTCTTTTATTTTTTTCCGAACGCAACCTGTTGTTGTTCCTTTTTCATTTATTTGCGCGATATTGTCTTGTATATGCGTATTTTGAGCTGAGTCATTGGTTAGATTTAGAGCGAGATATTCAAAGTTCGATATTTTCAAGTTTCTTGGCATACAATGCTACGGAAACGTATATGTTTGGGTGGATTAATTTACCACACTTAGTTTTCGCTTGGTGGCGAATTCATTAATTTTTAAAACGATACGAGAAACAATTTTATACGCAAAATAAAAACTTCCTTTATTCATCAAATTGGCAATAAATCCTTGTTTGTGAAAATTTTATTAATTTATTACAAATAACGCGATTCTTATATCAAGCATACAATCGTTACAATAAAATTGAAAAAAAGACCGATAATATAAGAATAAAAATTGAGACATTCGAAAAAAAAAAACTAAATTCACAAAGAAAATTGAGTTATATCCTGGAGTAATACAGGAAACCTATTAATTTCTTTTACAATGTTGAATCCGCTGCGTCGCTGGGCGCGGATAGCGACGTAAAATCGAGCGCTAGGCAATAAATTATCCACTCGTTCGCTCCCATAAAAAAGCAAAGTTTTCTGCGGGCGCACGCGCAAGAGGGAGAGAGAAAACCATTTTTTTAATTTATAAAAACGTTAGGCAATTCCAAGAACCGTAAACATCTTTTCTTCTACGATGTATATTTATATATATTTTTTTTTTTTCGTGGTAGATTAAAGTATTTGATCCTTTTTATTTAATAAAAATGACGCGACTTTTCAATGAAATAATTTTTTGGAGCTTTAAGCGGAAGTTTTTTAGGAAACGTCGTCGTGGCCTCATTTCTCTTGTCGATGTCACGGACATGCAGGCCTCTTGAAGAAAAATGATAGGCGAAGCTTTCTCTTGATCGACAGCGCTTAATCCTCGTCTTAGCTTTACGATATATCCCCTATCTCTCCTCTTTCTACGCATTGTCCTTTTTATGGAAGCTTTCTTTTTGAAAATTTCCTTTTCTCATTCGTGGTAATATAACATTGTACGGTCGGACGATGCAATATAAAGTGTACACTAAATAAAGGCCACGAGACGTTACGCAAGCATGACTGACAGCTGGCATGGTCATTCTTTTCGCGCGAGAGACATACGGCGTAATGTCACACCTTCGCAGTAAATTTCTAGTTTCGTTAAGAGATTGAATAGGCTGCGAAATGCACTTCGCACTTTGTTTTATTTTTTCTTTGCCTGCTACCGTGGATCACGATTTTATCGGTAGGTCGTATTTGTTCGAAGGAGAGTACATATCGCACGATATGTTTTTGAATGAGAACTTCGAAGTGCAAGTTTTTTGTTTTGAAAGGTCATTGACTAAAATGTATCCGAGATTTATTAAACTCTTGAAAGGTTTGAAAACCTTTTTGTCTTTCGCGACAGTACGCATAACAAGAGTTTGAATATGTAAACATAAATAGAAAGCACTCGCAAACATTAAATATATCACAACTTCCCTTTTGTGTGAGCGAAAACTTCTCAGGGAGTTATTTTCTTTTTTCAGCGAAATTTTTATTGAGCGCATCGTGTATGATATTAAAATGTACAAGTAAATATTTAATCAAACGTAGTATGAAATATTTTAATTGCAGACACTGCATTACATACATATATTTATCTTCTTCGCTCACTTGATTTTCAACGTCGTAATTTTCAAGACAATTCAAAAGGTCCTTACAGCCTGCTTAGCCAAGCTGCAAACTAATCAAGCTTGATCCTTCTCAAGCCAGCATGTCGTCGCGACAATAAACAGGCACACATACAGCGAGAAAGAGGAACGAGGGAGGAGGATGACCACAAGCGCATCAACACACATACAACACAATGACATAACACTCACCACAAGCGCCCTGATGCTTGACCCGCGTCTCCTTACGCTTCTGGCAGCTGGTACGTCGCAGCTGGCAGTGGTTCGAGTAGGTGACGCCGTCCTGGCCGCAAACCGGCGCGTAGTTGTCTGGGCACGAGGCTGGACACTGGCACGTTGCCTCGCCAGTATCCAATACCACACAACTCATGCCCCATGCGCAGAATGTCTTTTCGCATGGCTCTGTAGGCATAAAGATTTCGACTTTCAATTTTTAACAAACGATTGCTTTCAATGTTGATCAATATATGTAAATGGAAAGTGATAAAGGGCAGATGAATGAAAATTTTATTTCAAAACTGTACTGTTCAAAATTAAATATTCGAATCCCAAATAAACAAAATTGTTTAGTTTACAACAACATTGCACGACAGTTATAATTGCAAACCGTTGTCTCCAGTAATAGATCAGATAACAGCAACTAAATATCTCACTCTGGGAGATGACATTAATTTATTTATAAATAACTTTTATTGGCAGGTGCTGCACGAAACTCCAAGTTTATTACAGTAACGTATCAAATATCCTATATAAACTTGCATTGTAATGCAGCTCTGGATTTCCTCCGGAAATTCCGATTTCTCACAAAAAAAATTCACTACCCCTCTTACTCGAGTAACATGATGTCTCTCTCTCTCTCTCTCTCTCTCTCTCTCTCTCTCTCTCTCTCTCTCTCTCTCTCTCTCTCTCTCTCTCTCTCTCTCTCTCTCTCTCTCTCTCTCTCTCTCTCTCTCTCTCTCTGGAAGTCCATCCGTGGTTGCAATCAATTTTCCAAACGGCCGTTCGATTCGAAAAAAAGAGCACGGGTAATCTGTGCACGCGCGTGATCACTAATAAGACGCCCTCTAGCGAAAAGAAAGAAAAAAGAGAATGCACTACGGAAAATCTTTGCCGACCTAGTGAAGGATTACCGCAGCCGTAGCTGGTGTTACGTTAAATGTGCAGATTATGGACCCGAAGTTTTTTATTTATTTTTTTTTTTTGATGAATGATGAAATCTGTATGAGATTTGAATAGTTCACTGGTTTATTTTTTGAAGTTTGATAAATGATCATTGAGCGGTGTACTTTCTTGTTGAGAGTTAAATGAACTGTCTGATACATGTCTTGATTTACGACTCGAGAGTTTGGTGTATCAAGGGACGGGAGTATTCAGCGAAACCGTGGAGTTAATTGGATTGGTTTCTTAAGAATAATATATAAATTTGTTGGCCGCATAATGAGTGTACTTATACCAATCGCGTTTTGTACACTCAATTACGTTTGGTATTAAATTACGGCGTGTCTACACTCGAAATACTCGGATGCGAAAGTGGAATAACGGGCAAGAGCTTGGTGAACTTATACATCGAATTACGTGAAAACGTTCAGAAATTGCCAGAATTATTAGAATTCCATTTTGTACACGACGTATTTGTAGCACATGTGAACTCGAGCGTGCATAAGAAAACTAAATTCTCGATATCAAGAGAATTTTAAAGGCCAGTAAAATTAGCGTTGAATTCATTTTCGATTAATTTCTCAAAAATGACTGTTTGGCATTGTCATCCGAAACATAATACCCTATCGATATACCACCGCTCTCTTCCCAACATATACCCGTGCGGAAATCCGAGCATCGCTACTCCCGGGTATATATATAGGCACGTGTGCTTTGGCTCCCGCACACTTCGCGTAAAGCAAACATCCGTGTATACGAGAGGCCTTCTTTCGCGTCAGCAGCAGCACATAGATGCAGATATGAACCGCGCACGTCTGATCTCGCCGTGACGCGGAATTTCGATGTGGCTTTGTGATGCATATACCGGTATAGAAAGAGGACGGGGGAATGGATTGTCTAGTTGAGTTTGGGATGCATGATTTTATGGGCGAGTGAGCTTCAGATGCAGATCACTTTATAGCGTGTCACTGTTTATTTTTTTTCCATGGCAGTAAGCTCAAATATTATTTAGTAAAACACCGCCTCCATTTATTTCACGCAAGTCATCTAAAATCCGCGCGTAAGTACGTGCGCGCGAAGTATCATTAACCAGCCATCCCTCGCGGCTAGTTCTCAATCATCAGCGATTCAAATCATTCGCAGGCTTTTCACAAGAAAATATCAAGTGGTACATATTAACATCCTGCCTGACTGGGCATTTTTATTTTCGCTTTAGCTAATTAACCGTAGTACTAATTCTCATCTCAGTGTGCGGTACTGGTTTTTGCGAGACTGTAATTGGATTTTTTGAAGTAGAAAGAGGGAGGGGATGACTCATAAATCAGATAGCAGTACGCTTACGTACGCGCGAACGTGTAAACTAGCGCTTACATAACCATTTCCGTGGCAGTCTTTTACGACGAGCAACCCTTTCTTTCGCTTCTGCTGCTGCGTCCTTTTACGAGCGAACCTCTCACGCATATACACATATACTAGGCAATGGGAGAGAGATAAGAGCAGGCGTTGATAAGGGTTTTTGCTATTTAGGCGAGAAATGCATTTTCAAGGTCGGTGGATTACTCTCATTTTCTTGACGTTTATTGCCGACGCGACCGAGGCTGAAGGATTTTGTGCTTTGGCTTATGATAGGATTGGATTGTTTCATTTATACGAGTATTACTCGTAGATAAATGTTGTTGCCTTTCATACCGAATGGATATTTGAAATTGAATATTGATTGTGTTTTGTTATTGCATCTAGCATTGATGTTAGATACAGTGAACGTATAAAAATGCAATACGCATAAGTAACGAACATTTAGCCTGTATCTAACCTTACGAAGAATTCGAATCTTTGTTTCACTGTAAAAATGCTTTGTCTGCACTGTAGTAGCCTTCTTCAAAGCCAGCTCATCCAAACCAGAAACTTTACTGCACATTCGCAGTATTCGTAAAGGAGAGGGGGGATGAGGTGTTCTATTAATAACCTAGCGGGGTGCCTATAATCTGTCATCGAGGGAAAAATGGGAGAGTATATATCAGAAGCTTATTACTCTTGTGATTCATTGATTTGACACATTTACACCTCGATAGATTCCTTGATACATCGCTCTCTTATCGTTGATACTGAGTGTCGGGGGATATGTTTCCATATGGCGAAGTTTCGAGATCGTTGATCTTTATATTTTATTTTTAGCCTGGCTTTTTTAAGTTTTGCAATGAATATCTTATTGGTAAAATATTGGCTTTTAAGTAACGGATCTCATATAATCTGTGGATTATTGGAAGTGAAGTTAACAATGAACTCATCAAAATATCGAAGCAAAGAATATAGATTTACTTTGAATAAGAATGATTGAGTGAAATTCTTTCAAAATAGTAAAGGCTTTCGTATAAATATTAATTAAACTGTTTCATATGTATATTCGATATTAAAAAAAAACTTGTTTATTAAGAATAACCCAAAGTTTTTGAATACTAATAAAGTCACTTTTAATAGTTATGATTGCAACTGGATGTTTTAGAATTAAAATTACTTTTCTTATAAATTTATTTCTGCCAATGCATACAACTACCCATACAAAAAAATGAAACTGCACACGAATATTTCCAAAAAAACTATGGTTAACAAAAAAAGCGTTTTTTTATTTCATTCAAAATTAAGTTTACAAAACCACAATACTCGAGGCACTAGACGCCCCACCATGCAAAACAAAAACACAGTGAAAGTGCGGCAATGGCAGTAATTTTTCCGCCGGCATGCTAATTCGCACGCGGCTGCAAGTGCAAATATGCCAACGCGAGCTGCGTTCAATTTCGGCAGAGCTGTTTGGACTCGGACTCTCTCTCTCTCTCTCTTTCTCTCAATTGAATTTATCGGTGCTGCTAGCTCATGAAAAAAAGAACGCACGCGAAGTACCAGCAAATATGGCGCCCGATCTGTCCAGTCTTTGTCACGCATTATTTACTCGGATAGACTTTTATTGCGAAGCGACCGGTTATTACTACGCTCTTCAAGTGAACTGTATCTATCACCTCTCTCTCTCTCTCTCGCTCTCTCTCCCTCCCTCACTCAAGTCCAATATTTGCGGGAGGGTTAATTTTGGGAAGAGCGGATTGCAGATTCGGATGTGGACGTAGTATTGGCAAAGTTATATTCAAAGTCAATTGAATGCGATATATGGTGCTTATCAATTTACTCAGTTCTAGCATAAAATAAACTCTATTGTCTGTAAATCATAGGATTTATAGACAATAGACTAGTTTCTCCAAGTACCCAATTGAATTTTTAATAAAACTTTTAAACAAAGTTAATAGTAACTTTTCAACTCATACTCCTAAAAATATTAATCCAATCCCATAATCGCAATGTAACTTCATGATAGAAACTGAATCCTTTATCGTAACCTCATCTGCCGCTCTCGTTGTTTAATTTCCTCGGGGAATCGAAGCTACACATACACCAAACGGAATTGCAGCATGGTAATTTTCCTTCGGCGCAAATCAAAAGAGACATACGCGTGCAGCGAGTCTTCGTATTTTAATTACAAAGAGAAGAAAATCACTCGACGATTGACCAAAGGCATTCGTTAGTTGTTGACGGGGGCGCGTGTCAATAATGTTTGCACTCATACACATACCTACACCGAGCATTAATGGCTCATCGGCCAAGCGACCCCTTTGTTCCATCTTCCTATCACCACGTCAGCCTGCAGTTTATCGAGAGTGCTTTGAGCGAGCGAGCGAGAGGTGCAAGATGGAATGCAAATGATAAGAGGCGTTGCGTTGCGATGAGTGTCATTATGGCTTATTTGAGGCAATGCTCACGAGAATGGGATGGAGATTATTGATGATTTATTTACACTATTTTTGGTGTTTAAAATTTGTTTATTTAAACTTTTGCGATTTTCCTTAAGCGTGAATCTTTGCTCAACTAACTCCCAATTATTGAATGTATACAAAGTAATTAAGGTACTCATGACATAAACTGCTAAATCCAGCATCGCCAAAAGTTCGTAAACGCTATTAAAAGGGCGTGGTAAAGTCGACCAAATACCAAGTTGTTAGCATTATCATTAATTCCACTAGTACTAAACAAGATTAAACTTTACACGAATTTTGCCTACAACAAAACTGACGGGTGCCTAACAATAATGTACAGCTCGAAATATTCGCTAAACGTGAAAATTGTTTCAACGTCCAATCGAGAGCCAGAGAGAGTTGGACGCTTCTGCTTGGAAGTTATTGAGTTTGAAACTTTCTCAT